CTTTAGAGCTTTAGCCTTTTCTTCTATTCTGCTCTGAAGAAGTGAAACATCTAAGCCAAAAGATTTGCAACTGGTCAAAAGAAAAATTTATGTCAAATAAATTACGAGTTTGTCATTTCCCTCTGAGAGACCTCCCAGGGGCGTATCATAAAGCAGAGATGCATGTGAAAACCCATATTTTTCTGATCTCATTTCATCAAAGAGCTGTCAGAACCGCGGGGTAATATTTAACGTTATAGACATTAAATGTCTCTAATCAATAATAACTGCTCTTAGCCCATCGCGCAGTGATGACATCTTATCTCCCTCCAAAAAACTGTAAAGAGTTCTTGGTACTTCTCCCAGCAATGACAGACAAAATTAGCCTCCATAGATTCCCTGCTGACCACAACCTTCCCTTATAGCAGTGAAATATGCTGCGTTGAGCGGTTTCAAACTGTTCTTTTTTTTTTTACATCCCTTGGGGAAACTACACTACATAGGTCTGCACCTCCTCTGAAACAGCAGTATTCGAAGTCCTCTTGCTTGTACCCTACATACTGTCCCAACAAACTCCCTGCAAAGGGAAAAAGGCTGAGTGCAGCCTGTCATGCATCACATTGTTTGTCTTGTTATTTAGCCTTCAGTTTCAAGGACATAGCAGTTCAACACCTTCTCAATAAAATACAGCCTATATCCCCCCCTGGCCTTGAGTAGCTATATCTCCTGACATTTTTATCAGGCGTTAAAATGATTTCAATCCGGCTGACATTCTCTGCAGGTCAAAGCAATACTTTCGAAAGATTTCCGGTATATTTTGGAACTGCGCTTCATCACCGCCTCTCCTAATGTGCTTCAAATGCTGCGAATCAATCTTTTGGGCCTTTGTTTTTTTGGATCACAACCGTTCTATTTGATTGATTGTCTTGAAAGGGCAACAGGGTACAGTTGCCGGTGACATAAACTGGCTCCACATTTGCAATTTGTGTTACTAAATGGACAAAACGTCACAGTTTATTATTCAGTGTTTTTAGCCTTAACGATGTGTTGAATCTGATTCCACAGAAACAACTTCCTGTCCTCAAAATTTCCAGCTTTTATTCTACAACAAAGGCATCTCTGAAATACAGCTGCTCTTTTGTTGTGGAAAAAGATTACTCTTTTGTCGTCTTTGAAAACAGAGCGCCAGGGTTTATATCAGGTATGAGTAAAATTAGATCACACAGCTCTACTTTTGGCATCTTTGCATTGTTTTCTTTCCAGTTTTTAAATGATTCTGGGGTTTTACGTTTTTAACGCTATGGTTGGGCTTGGCAGCTGGCTATATCGCAAGCCTATTAATCCCTTAAAGTCAGTCGCACAGTGGCTGAATTAGACGGTCTCAGACAAGGTTTTGAGATCTGAAACAAAATCCTGGTGTCGGAGCCAACTCGCCGCTCGCGGCCATCGCCGAAACCTGGAAGTTCAATCGGGTCAGTGAGACAGCCTGAGCCAGGAACTGAGCCCTCTGAGACATCTGCAGATTTCAAACATATTTGAAGTTCAGCGTGGAATCAGTCAGAACTTTTGTAGTAAGGCAACAATCAAACAAGAGAGTCAAGCAGAAAAGGCAGAAATTCAAGGTTTGGAAGGTCCAGGTTATGTAATAGCTTTTACCTTGACAATAAAACATAAATACTAACATCAAACAGTAAACTATCTGGGTATAGCTATAGTGGGCCTTTATAATTCATCTCTGGCTTTAGAGGAAACGCAACCACTGCAACCTGCATTTTCCAACCACTCATCTTCTTTCTCAAGCTCCAACTGCACCACTGTGACATGAGGAAGTAGCAGTTTAAGTTTGTCACTGGGAGATGTAACCAAAGATTTCCTGAACCGTCCCATGAGCACATCAGGTGTCTCGCTTTTAGAACTAGGAGTGTCTCAGTCTGAAAAAAAAAAGTCCATTAGAAGCTGAGTGGAAGAGGCCCCAGGCTCCCATCACTATCCCTAATATTTAACTGGTGATGGAGCGGACCAGTCATCCAGTGATGGGAGCCTGTCGAGACAAATGTCAAAACATAACTGCCTGTCAGGTGCAGTGAGGAAAGAGATGAAATAAAAGAGGACACACAAAGGCACAAATTTAAGGCGGGTTATTGCGCTGAAGGGAAATCCACATATGTAAGAACGGTACAAAAAGTTCTTACATCACGGCTGTTGAAAACAAACGTTAAATAGCTTTTTTCTTCATGCTGTGTGCAGCTCCGCTTGGGGGCACCCAAAAAGAGAAGAGGCAGTGCTTCTGTAGGAGGAGGGAGGGGTGGAGAGGAGGGAGGGGTGTGGAGGGGGGAATCAAAATCCCTAACAACCAAATCCAAGTCAAGAATCTTTCAATGTGTGAACCTCCCGTCTGTGCCACAGTCGTTGAGAGTCCGCACCGCTGCATAACTAAGACAAGGAACTACAGCGAAGGCAGTTGTTTAATGTAAGCAGCACAGAGATCCCAGGCCTTTGATTTATGAGCCAGAACAGTCTCATACTCAGACTCTAACCCTCATGAACGGTAGAGGAAAATCTGGGCCCTTGCCATTAGCAATTAACCAGCTCTAGAATAACTTGCCTGCAGCGAACAGGGGACAAAATAAGCATTAGAAGAGGTAAACAACAACAACAACACCAACAACAATAATAGTCATTGTTAAAACCTATTCTTTCAGTCGGGTCTGCAGTTAATGAGATAAAGCGCTGATAAAGCCTTTCAGCTCTAATCTATTTCATGGGATTGAGATAAATTGCAGGGAGATATAAAGTGGATGTTTTATTTGTGGCAGTTCAGAGGACCTGGCCTCTTTGGTGAGACACTCTTCATTAGTGGACGACAGTAGGAGCGGAGGAAACACACTGGCATTAGACTTGGAACCGCGAGGCTTCCCTTGCATCTTGTGAATTCGCGTGCGTTGCCTTAACCAACTGTGCACCTCATTTGCTCCCACTCCCTGCTAATCGCTGAGATGTGATCCTATCTCTCAGCACACATTTCGGTTTTTCCCCCTGCGGATCTTTATTTCTCAGCGAGCTTCTCAGCTAATAAGAAGTGAATGCTGAATGTTTCAATCATCAGGTAGTTTTTTTTTTTTTTTCCCTTTCTTTTCTCTTCCCTCCCAACTTCCCCTGCCTTCCTCGACATTTCCTCTCCCGTTGTAAATGATAGAAGAGGAATACAAGGAACGGCCCACTGAGCTTCCCGATTGTGTCACTTCCAATTAGCCCTTCTGAGACATCTCTGCCCTTTGGCTCACCAGCATTCAAGTTTAAAGATCTGAGCGGTGCCCCTTGTATTTTGTACCCCGCCTTCCCTCGATCTGCATACGTGTGGCTCTGGATTTGTGAGTCTATGAAAGAGAGGAATCGCGGGAAAGACAGACAAGGATTTTTTAATCCTATAACCAAAAATAGCAGCTCACTGTAATGCTCTATGTATGTGGTTGCTGTGAGCTTAAAAGGAGCTCTCCTTACATAAAAGTGCACATTTCTGAATAAACCAGCCACACTTCACCTTAATCATCCTCGATATTATACATCATTAATACTGATGTTCCTAAGTAGCTAAGCCTTTTAGAACTAGGACATCACGCGTTGTGGTGGTCCTCTGAAGATTTATCCTTCTGAAAAACCTGGCAGCTCTGTCAAAATCTGCCTGCAACCTGCTTTTCTGTCACATCACTTTTTAAAGCCCAACTGAAGTGATGGGGAGGGGGGGGTGGGGGGGTTGTAAATAGCAGAGCGGTGAGCCACAGTATGCGAGCAAACGTTTTTGAGTTAATGAGAGGGCTGGAGCGCCGCAGCTTCTTAAACTAGGGCAGAGAAACTTGGGAGCTTCAGTGGACGCTTTTCCGTCCAGACCTCATGTCCCAGGAGAACACATGTGCAGAAACCAACAGTACATATAAACAAAGCTTGTGTCGTGCGGAGCTGTGTCCACTTACTATAATCAAACAAACAAAGAAGAAGACATTTCCATGGAACAGAGCTGCAGCGTGGACAGAACTCTATTTTTACGAAGAGAAAGGGCGTGGGTTCCTTTTCAACTTTAAGAGGCGCATTCTGGATCAAACCCAGAGCAGAAAATCGCGCTGACTGACTATGGGCATGCTTGTAGCACAAATGAACCTCAATTTTCCATCATTTTATCAGTCAAACTCAAAACAAAAGATATGAACTCGTGCCAAAAGTCTGCTGCACAGAAGATAGGGTCTCACAGAGTGAAATGCAGGAGGGTATTAAGAAACTCTGAGGCACTGCTCTGAAGAGTTTTTCAGATGTTCCACTATATTTACAATATGTCACCCCTTCTATATATTTTTTTTTTAGCTTTAAGTGAAGAAAAGCCATTTGCAGAATACCAGCACACTTGATGTGAAATCAACAATTCAGTTTGTAAATGTAGCACGTTTTGTAGCATGTAGCACTGTGAGTGCCGCTTTAAACTGTGGTCCTGAGTTACAGGAAAAAAATGTAAACTGATCCAACATCATCAGGTGAGTAAGATGACCAATGTCTTACTGGAAGACTTTTCATTTCCTGTGGAGCCCGGGTATCTGAGGAAATGATGGCTTTTCTGGGCTGACAGCAGAAAAGTTGGCCAGAGGTAGACTCTATCAAGACTATCAGGATTTCTATGTCTCCTTGTTTCCTCGCTAATGTGATTTTGTTTCATGAATAACACTTTATGTTGAAGAGTACCAAATAAATTTGATGAGAAGTTAATTACAGCCATTAAAACCTCCCAAATCTATGCAAACATCTATATCTTAGCTTAGAGAGAATCTGTAGTCTTTAAATGCAAAGCGAAGCATAAGGAGTATGTGATCTGACTGTTAAAACCTTCAAGGTCCCAGATCTCATCATGACTGTAATCAGAGCATCTGTACTGTACTCCCTCAGTCAGATGAAAACTACCCACTAACCACACTGTGAAGGCAGTGTCAAGACTGATACACCAACATACACAGAAGAAGAGAAAAACGTAATCTTACCTCCTACGAACTGGATGCCACCGGCCACACGACCAATAGTACGTGAGATGAGGTCAGAGATGCAGCAGCCCATGAGAGCGGTGAGCGCCACCAGCAGGAGGAGGCCGCATCCCACGCCCGTCACCACCGTGCAGATCCTCCACTCCAGACTTGGGATGCCGTTGAAGGAGGCGTAGCGCCCACACTGCTCCAGCATCACCGTGGCCTGCCTCTCTTCATCCCTCACCGGGTACGAGCACCGCCTGAACGTGCCAAAGGACACGGGCTTGTCCATCTGTGTCCCCAGCAGCCAGTAGGGCATGAAGAAGCCAACGCAGGAGGCTGCAGCACACAGCAGGGACAGCAGGGCCCAGATAACACCCGTGCATGTCAGACTAGACGCCATGGTAAACAGTCTGTGAACGGTTCACACAGTCACTGAACTAACAGCAGTTATATGAGCAGTCACTGTGTTGTGGGAAGCCTTGCAGTGAGCATTTAACACAAGCAGTCTTCACCTTCTCAGTGACTCCGGGTCCCTGTCAGGAGGAAGAGAAACATCCAGACTGAGCACTGGCAGAAAAATCACATGCAGGAACAAGTTGTTGGCTTTTGGAATAATGTGAAAAATCACAGTTGGAAACCAGAAACATGTCACCCATCATTAGAAATGCAGCATGAACACAACAACTCAACAACAAGAATCACAGATAGTATCCAAGGAAGAGAGACTCACTCATTAACAGAGCTTCAATAATAACATGATCAGTCAGGCATGGCTGATACTTGATTGATTAGTTAGATCTGTTTTTCTGTGCAGACTTAAAAGATGGAATCAGCAGATATATAGACAAACAAAACTGGACGTGGTTCAATAACAGGTTACTCAATATTGATTCAATACAATTATGATTTCATTAATACATAATGGTAAACATTATCAAACTCAAGCCAATCAATAATCAGCTCAAGTTTGATCAACTGACTGGCAATGATTATCTCCATCTTACTTATTTCTTCTCTTTATTATCAATCATATAGAAATGTTAAGGAATTTTAAAAAAATGTCTTAGTTATTGGGTTAAACGGTCCAGCATCTTTAAGGCAGCAGTGGCAGCAGCAAAGTAACACTAGTTTATCCTGTATAGGCAGCCTATTATTGGAACAACTGGTATTATGAAGTATAGCTGCTGAGAATTTTGTATAATGTGGACAGCAGTGTTAACCCTTCAACAAACCAGCAATATCACCCACATAATGAACTTTAAAATGACCACAGCACAACTGCAAACAATACAGTCTATGACATGTTATGAGTCTATGATGAAATACCCATGAAGTACCAGTAAACTGGACATTTAGTCCAGGAAACATACGACAAGTCCCTGCAGAAACAATCACTACAGGAACACACAGTGGTTTTTCGTTAGGGGTGACCTCAAGGAACACGTCGTATGATCGCAGCGCTCCGACTGTCGGAATGTGAACAACGTAAACACTGCTAAAGAAAATGAAAAAGAAGAAAGCTTACATGTTGGGGGAGCCCCGGAATGAGGTGCGCTCGGTGTAGTACACTGAGAGGTTATTTCCATCTGCGGACTCCAGCTATGTTGGGTCTCCGAGCAAACTTTTCTCCAGTCGAAGAGAAACAGAGAAGAAATGCGTTCGACCTGAGAGTGTAAATCCAAAAAGTGACCGCAGAATCCCCTCACTAATCACTTCCTCCTCATCAATGCATTTAACCGAGGCGATGATCAATTATTCACTCCCGTGCGGTGCAGAGACATGCGGCGCTGCCTGACTGGACTCCCGTTTCCACATTCCTGCTCTCAGTGAGAGAGAGAGAGAGAGAGAGAGAGAGAGAGAGAGAGAAAGAGGGAGAGAGAGAGAGAGGCGGAGAGGGGGCGAGTCTATGAAACACTCTCGGGAGGTGACCATCAATCACACAAATCCCCACCCAGGGGCTGGACTCACCGCTACTATCATTCCCTTCATGCTCCCGATGCGTTCACTGATGCCTCGGAAAATGCTAAAGTTATTCTAGATGTAACAATCCTGATTCTAGGAAACCTCAATTGAGTTTCTGTAGCGATGAAAGTGAGGGACATTAAAAGTGATGAAATTATTGGTGTAGTATAGTATCAGCATGATGGTAAACATTGAGAAGTCATTAAGATGACTCAAATACAAATTAACGAGGTCTTCACTTTTAGAGATCAAGTCAGGGCTATTATGTGGCACAAGTTGACAGGGTGTTAAGTGTTTTTCTGTGATTTGTTTTTTTGAGTGACTAAATGTTATTGTTATAGTTTAACATTTTCATAAAAATATTTGTTTTGAGGGTTAGTTTGTGCTGATCTAATTTGGGTTTTAAAGACTTTTTTCTCAATTTTTATTGTATGGCATCTGTTTTCTTGAGACAGTATTGGAAATAATCTGTTATCTTTTGGATTCAATGTTTTTACAGCCATAAAGTAAATACGGTTAGAGGAACATTTTTTGGAAGAATTTGTTGGTTTAAGCAGCACAATCAAATGTTTTAATGGACTAAAAGAAAATCAAAAAATATCATGATGCTTAACACTATGCATAACCCAATGTATTAACATTCACATTTAGCCTACCTGTACAAAGCCCAGAGTATAACAAAATGGATGGACTTATCAGCTGTGTGTTAGAGTGTTAGTTACACAAGTTGTTATTGTTATTACCCTTCACAAACTTTAGCCGAATGACTTAAAAACCTTTAAAATTTGAGTTTTGGCTCAAAAATGTCTATAAAACTATTGACTATCTTTGAAAGTTGATTTGTGAGTTTTTTTTAATATACTTTTTCAAATGTCAGTTTCTGATTTTTCCATGCACATGCACGATCAGGTCGGTTTCTGTTTTTCCGTTATGCTTAGATAGGTGTTTGAGAGTATTCCCATGACTATAGAACAAAAGGATGACATGAAAATAGTTTGGTCCAATTATGTAGAAACAGGTCATTTAACTATTCAAAATGTATATAATAAAAACAGATGAAGTCATGAATTTTGATAGTAAGTTGCAACTTACTACATACTGTTTTAATCTCAATTCAATTAATGAATTTCCAAGACACATTATTTACTGCTGGAATTATTTAAAAGTAGACTTTCCAACAACACTTGAACGCAGCACTGTTCTTATATTTTCTTGTGACTGTGTGAAGACCCTAGACTGGATATACATTGATGAACAGAGAGAAAGATAGAGGAAATTAGTAGTAGTGCTGTAATTTGGAGATCTCTTTATATTATTTGTCTCTATTATCTTTTAAAAGTTAATCTGACACATATGCCGAACCAGTAAACTGGAATAAAATGAGCCACTTCAGCCAACCCGAGCTCTGCATGAAGCATATGACCTGTAAACCCATTAACATGTTTTAGGACGTGTTTTTCACAGAACTCGGAGGAACTCACTGGAACAACACAATTTCAATGTTTTGCCTAATGGCTTTCCAGTTGGTTGAAGGAATGAGCAGCCTAAACAGTGAGCAATTATTATATTTGTGTGAAATCATCATCATCAGTCTTCGGTAGACCATCCCCATAGAACAAAAAATAACAAATTACTTGAGCAGAAATAAATAACTCCGTAGTGGAACCTTGTATCGTCCCCCCTCAGTAATATACGCGCCGGCCGGACGTTGATTTCAGACGGACCAAAACATAATTCAGAAAAGTTGACGTGGAGGTGTTCGTCTACGATGGCTGATATTAAAGTAGAACTTTCTGGTGACAGCTCCACTGTAATCCAGAATCCAAATGCGTCTTCTCAACCCAATAACCCGCTGTCAAGGAAGCTAAACAAAATACTGGAAACGAGGCTTGACAATGACAAGGTATGTTGGAAGACGTTAGCTTCCTGCTAGCTAGCTAACTGTAGCTAAATCTCCAAGCTAGCCGCGTTTCAGCTGGAGGAAAAAACACAGTAACAACGTCAACATAAATATTTGTGTATTTAACAATTAGCATGTTGCTGTAGTCGTTAAGTGAGTGTTGCGTTGACTCATGTTTTCGAGTCTTATTTGTAGCTACACCTGGAAGTTTACCCTGCGTGTTCTGCAAGTAAGACACGAAGGCTATTAAAAGACTGACATTAACATCATAATGTTATTTTTCGTGTTTTCAGGAGATGCTGGAGGCTCTGCAGGCTCTGTCCGTGTTCTTCACGGAAAACAGTTTGCGCACCAGGAGAAATCTTCGGGGTGACATAGAGAGACGAAGCTTGGCCATCAATGAGGAGTTCGCACGAATATTTAAAGAAGTAAAGGAGGTAAGATACAGCGTTGACAGAAATGCAATCTACTATGGATGATTTAAAAAAACAACCATATCATTGAGGCAGAACAGACTTAGGCAAAATATATGGCAGTTATTCTGGGATGAGGAAACGTTTACAGAGACTGTCAAGCAGGTGCACCTTTAAATTTCTATCTATATTGTGCAAAAGAGCACAGAATGGTGAACGATCTTTGTAACTTTAAAAGATGCGGTTTCTTATTAAAAAAGAAAAAGAGAAATGAAAAGTTTTACAGTTGCCAGAGGCAGAACTCATCTAGTAAAATGGCATATTTAATTGTGGAGAAAGAGATACAACTTTTAAAAATGCTTTGATCCGCACTAGTGTAAGTTTTCAGGGTGGTGTGTGTAGGATTCCTGCAAAATTAAATTGCAGTAACAATCGCAGTATCAAAGACTGTAGTGAAAAAGCTGTGATTCAAGCATCCTACTTCTCAACATTTGTTTGCAGCATTAGAATACTTGAAGGCAACACACTGTATCATAACTATTTCAAAATACTGTCATGAGCATCTTTAATACACAGAGATGCCTCTCCAGATCTGCCTCAGTGCTGCTTTAACTGTGACTTCACGTCCCCCACAGGAGCTTGAAAGTGTTCATGAGGATGTCCAGGCCATGAGCACATGTTGTGAAGAAATGACCAACAGATTAAAGGTACAGCAATAATCTCTATATGCTGTTTGAAAAATCTCCTGTACGTGTAATTATTTAATGTAGTTAAACTGAGTATTCAGTTCACAACAGTGGGGAATATATTAGTGTAGACTTGGTATTATTATTAATATGTTTACAAGTCATATTTATGAAAGTAGTAACTTTTCTTCAACAGGCTGCAAAGGACCAAACTCAAGACCTCATAGTAAAAACCAACAAGCTTCAGGGAGAAAAGTGAGTTAAATCTGTTAAATCTGAAGCATGAAATGTGTGTGTGTGTGTGTGTGTGTGTGTGTGTGTGTGTGTGTGTTTGTTAACTTTGTAACTTGACACATATTTGAAATAAGATTGATGCAACAAGGCAGTGGGAAAATGTCCTCAAGATTAAAACAGCAGTTCCAGTTGCCTACTATCTCTCTGACTGAGAAACCTCATTGACATTTCTAAAATAAATATATGTTACAGTTAATGGGTTACATATTTACTATTGCCTTTTGTACCTACATGAGTCAGGTACCCAGAGTGACTAGAAAAGTAGAAACTTCTGTCCAGTCTAATAGAATCCACTTCGCACTAGTTATTACTACCTTTGGGAAAGATATTATTTTAATTGTGGTAGGCCGTGAATCAGGTTTTAATTCAGGTCTACTGTAACTTAAGGAATTTTATATTGGACTGTATTGTAAGATTTTTCTGATACTTTCTGCTCCATAAATCTGATGGCATTGACAGCATTTTATTTCTCTTACTATTATGCCGTCAAGTGCCTGAAGCTTTCGTAATGTACAGCCTCGTAACATTTAGTGAGGACTCAAAACTTCAACAAAAACTGAACTTAAGATAGTGTTTATTGTTGGGCTGTTATGTCAGATTACACCAAACGAGCGCTGTACTGAGCATTGTTTACTCTTGTACATGTGTTGTGATTATCAATCTGGGAACTCGAGCGTAAACTACTGTCGCTAGCACAAGCTGTTTCTCAATCTGGCTGTAACTGAATTGTCACCAAACTGTAAAGTCAGACTGTATGACAAGGCTGCCATCCTGAACTTTTAAACTGCCATTGCTGAATGTCAGGGAGATCATGGAGATAGCATGGCAACTTTTCTCTGAATTATCTGCAGAAATTTCATACCGCCATTTCTACCCTTATCTGTTCCGAAGCTATAAGTCATTTTGGAAACTTGTCACATGTGTCGCTGATAGGCATCTTCATCAGTCCAAAGTTAGACGCCATCATTTCACTCTCCCTGCTGTTTCATTTCCACAGAGAAATTGCACTTTTTTTCTATTCAGGCAAGTCCCCAGACAAATAGTTCTTCAATCAAAGTGCAAGGCAGGAACAACATGGTCCACTTTGCAAGTATTAAACTTTTACTGCACACATTTGGAAATCGAGACCTGGCAGAATATGCTCGCACTTCCTTGTTTGTCAGCCAAAGGAGATTTTTCAGTTTAATTAGAAATTGAGCCATTACATTTAAAAACATTATAGATTGATGAGTTAAAAGTGAGTTGAGATGAGATTTTATACAAATAAAGACATGACCTGCCAAGTTACAACACTAATACTTTGAAGAGTAGATTTCTGCTCTGTGAAATGCTGCTTCTCTTTACTGTCAGAAGTTTGTCAGAAGATTTTGGTTCAGGGCAGGAGGAGCTGGCAAGCACATCTTTATTTTTGATGAGGAGAGATGAATGATTCATGTGGTTGATGAATATTTCTCTTGCAGTTGTCTATTTGCATAAGGAGGGCAGCAATCATCTTTAACGGAGCTTTATTTGTTTTATTCGTCATGTCCTATGAAGATACACATCAAAGTGTTTTCCTGTTTACGCTGCACTACTCCCTGATCTTATTGAGGCCAGCCTATTACAACTGGAGAGAAGCCCATCAGTGTGTTCTTGTGTTTGAGTGTGTATATTGAGATTTGCTGACAACACATATTAGGAGCCATCAGATATGCAGATCAAATACGCACAGCTCACCATGACATGACACCATGAGTGGAGTTAGGGTTATCAGATGTATCTTGGGTGCTCACCCATTCACAACCTTTGGAATACTGATGGATGTTTTTTTTTTTTTTTGGTTGAAAGCTTGCCACTCAGTTTAATCTAGGTATCATTAATCTATGAATATGGCTGGCAGAGTGTTGACAGGGATGTGAAAATAAAACACCCGTTCCTGTTCACTGATAACTCAGGGGGGTTGGGGTGGGGGGTGGGGCTCATTAGCATTTGTGGTGGCTGTGACCTCAGTGCTCAGTGACCTTGTGAGTTGACATGGAGGCAGGGGCACGGGCAAAGATAATGTAGATTTCTGGCAGAAGACACTGCTGACAGCTGTGATGTACCACCGCAATTCCATGCTCCACTGGCACAGCTTCAGGACCTCCTTGACAAAAAGGTGACAGGAGGCAGTGGGATTGTACAGTTCTGAATGTGAGAGCAGTAAAAGACACCAGTGGGGATAAAGCCACCAGTGAACATGTGCAGGCAATGAATTAATAAAAATCGTATCACTTTGTGCAGGGCTCTTGTTGAAGGTAAGTGGTCAGAGGTTTTACACGAATGCCCTTCTGAGTGGCCCTCTGCCTTGTCTCTTTTCCTTGCATAGTGGTCCCATTGGGACCTGCTGTCCGTCTGTGTGACATTTTCATTCGCAGAACCACAATGACCCCACAGCCAGATGGGATAGTGTCTGCACGCTGGGCTTTGACCTTGTCTATAGCAATTTTGTCTTAGAAGAGCTGCCAAGGGAAGTGTGCGCACAAGCTGTCCTCCTTCAGCCACCTACCAGTCAGCCCACTGCACCACACCACTCCAGTCTTCTCAGTCAGATCTATTTCAGGTCACACAATCCTCTGCAGTCCCAGGCCACTGTTTTTTTTTTATCTTTTTTTTTACTTGTCTCCTGTTGATACTTATTATAGCCAGGCTAAGATTTGCAGCATAATCTCACATTTTCTGCTTATGGGGCAGCTCTGCTGAGAGAGTAGAGTCATTTTCAAAGCTCTGCTGATGCTCCTGATGTGTATTTACCCGCCACAGTAGACCTGTCCTGAACTGTTTGCTATGTTATCTGCCAGTGGCACTGTGTCATTTGTCAGCGTTAATGAAACTGAAAGGAACAGTGGATTGCTTACAGTGTGCAGAAGCAAAGGTTGCAGCTCTGAGCCAATGAGAGTAGACGACCTGTATTTGTCCGCCGGCTTTCAAACGCGCTGCTCTTTTGTTCTGGGCTGCTGCTTTTTTAAAGGCGCTGTCAACAAGAGCACTAAATAGGTGTTGTCTGTTGTTCCATAATGAAACGTAACGCCACCCACCTGTCCCACACTGTGTGATCTTTGCATTAGCATGACATGTTATCACACGGAACAAGTTGAGACACCTCACAAACGGATGTTTCCGTGGACTTTGCCCTCCCGAGCAGCTGGAGCTGAAGGGGGTTGGACTGTTCAGTTCTCCAGCTATTACTGAGCCACTCAGGCAGCTACAGTGGGCCTACGTGGCTGCGCGCCAAAGTGCAACGTATTTAAATTTAATAACCACAGCAAAGATTTGCCCACATTTGGCTTGTGGCAGCCCCTAATTTCCCCACAGTAATTTCCTACAGCATATGATGCATAATCGGAAACGAAGCCCTGTGTTTCATTCAGTTTTGTTTCCTGAAAATAAAGCAGTTGTACTCAGTATGACTTCTGTGTAGGTCATTAATAAATCAAGAGCTCTGGAACCCTTGAGAGAACGATCAGGAACATCAGAGTGTAGATGACAACCTGTGTGAAATGACACTTAAGCCTTATTAATGCTCAGCCGACTGTTAATGAGGGTATAGCTGTGAGTATGCCTTTGTGTTGTCTGATTTGACTGGCTGCGACTGCACTCTGTGATCACTGGCACGTGGCTAACTAACAGCTTTGCGAATGCCAAATTTCCACACGAGACTTTGAAATGGCCCCTAATAGATTTTAATGGATAATCGACCCACATGGTTTACAACCTATGCGAGGGTTGGACTTTCGCTTGGTGATCTCCTTATCAGTCATTCTGTATGATTATAAGTCTGTTTTAAAAATTAAAAAAAAATAAAATTGAATGATGTGCTATAAATCTTTTCTTAGAAGTCATATGCTTAAGTCTGCTTTGGAGAGAGAGCTTGATGAATGTTACTCGCTGATCGAGCTCAGTTTTTCTAAACATCGTGCTGCACTATTGGCTCAGCTCTGTGAGGTAATTGAGTAGGTGCTGGTAATTTCAGTGTTTCAGTTTGACGAAGCTGTTTATGAGATTGTGCTGTGTTATGTTGCTTAAACGATTTTTGTGCTTGAACAGACAAAATCATTTGGGCCTTGTTGGGAAATCTGAGCACGCACACAAACAGACGCAAACAAAGAGACACACTGCTGACACTGTAACTTGTCTTCATCCCATCATGTAACATTATATAACCCAGATCTAATTTAACTTTGCACTTTTTTGTTGGGCATTAAAAAAGCTTCCGTCATTGAGTTCATTTTCCTTGGAACCACTGGCCCAGAGTCTCTACATACTTTGCCTTTACAGTGTGACATTGCCACACACACTCAAATATGTTGCCTCTCTCTGGTATTCGGTAATTGCAGTCTGGAGAAGAATGTGTCATGTCCTGACAGCACTGTAGACAACAAACCTGCTGCTCCATTGTTCCCTAGCTCTCCTTTGCTCGGCCGCTTCAGCTCCTGACAAACCCACAGTGCTCAATTTTGTGCAGGCATGTGCGGACTGTGTCTTTGTTGCGATTTACATTCTGGAGGAACAGGTCTGTCACTCTTGGCATGGACGTGAAAAATTGGGGGCATTTCTTATCTTCTACAGGTTAATCTGTTGCAAAGTTTTCCATGTGAGAACTGTTGTCTCTCTTCTGGAGCTCTTGTGTCCACGGAGTTCAGCATGGAGTCCACAGACCGGAACCTTAATCAGTGAAGGACTGAGAGCAATTGCTGCTGTAAAATGAAACTCATGAGGTCATATTTTTGACATAAATGTAAAAGACGTAAAATTATATAATTGCTAGTCGAATGGTTTAACTTTTGGACTCTCTTATAAAGTCATAAACATATAATCAGTCGGTCTTTCTAGTCAACTTGCTTCATTGACCACGACCTCTTTTATTGGTAGACATGCAGCCTGTGGCTTGAATGCTTCATAAATGAAATTCCAAGATGTGGCATGTGAAATGTGCCTGATGAAATAAGACAATTAGGACCATCGGGTGGCCAATCAATTTTATGTCCCATCAGATTGGTATGTAGGACTTTTTTTTTTTTTTTTCTTCCAAGATTCAATATTGTGTGTGTGTGTGTTTCTGCCTTTTTTATTCCTTCTTGTGAAGATAATAACTCAACAACCTTTAATGATCGAAATCCTACAGTTTCTTTCCATAGAACAGATGATCCAATTAGATTTTTGTAAAAGCTTGCTGCATAGATTTGCATATTAGTGATAAAATCTTCTTTCTTGAGACGACTGTAGCTCATCCCTCTACACGAGTTTGCAGGCTTCATATTAATGTTCCTCATGTTTGCGTGAATACACGCATGTTCGAATGGAAATAGTTTCTGTAATTTATGCATCATTCAGTTTAATTGATCACCTCATTAGCATAGCTTGTTAATTTTTATATATCATTGTAATTGTGTTGGGATATCAGTTAGCCCAAGCGCCTGATGTTTTAATTTGTTATCACTGAGTAGCACGATGTGTTTTCTCCTTCTCCAAACAGTTCTCATTCAGTTTTCTCTGTTTTTGAAGTTCAGTGTGTTTCTGTACGCACATGCTCAGGGTTTGACAGTGACACAATAATTCTAATACAAGACACGTAACATGTTACATTAAATAAATAATCCACTTTTTTTGTGACTGCTTCTGGAACACAGTGAAAGCCTGAGCCTCAAAAGGTGTTTTTTTTTTTTTTTTTAGGTAAAGGCAAGGTTATATCTGTATCGAATGAAAAATGTATTATCTTTATTGTCACTGCCTAAAATTTTGATGATGTAGCCAGGTTTCTCTAATAAAGTTAATTTTTAAAGTACACTACCCAAGCCTTTCTGTGCGTGGAATTCAAGGCTGTGGTGCAGCCAAGTTTTTTCCTCTTTGTGTATTGCCACAAAATCTCACTACACAAAACACGTAAAGGGCAAAGATGCCTCGAGGTCCTGTATGTGAGGCTCAGTACAGAGAAATACTAAATCATAGAATCCTATAACAGATTTACAACCCTTTACTTTCAGCTGACTGAGCCCTGGTAATAGCCGTGTGAGAGACAATGGTCAGATAATGTTATGTTCTTCTCCTCCACCAAAACAACCTGGTGATTTACTGGTGTCCTGCCTCGCCTTCACAGAGAGGGAGAGAATATAGATGAGGTGGTTTGGATGGAAAGATGGGGACAGAGGGAGGACTCGCTGTTGTTCTGCTATCCCATGACAGAGTTCCCTGTTTGACTGGGGCGGTTGCCATGGTCACTATTGTGTTGAGACATTTATAGTGACACCGATAGTGATCACTCTGCTGTTATTGATAGTGGCAAAACCTGGCCAGTATCCGGCTCTGTGTTCTCTTTGTTGCTCTTCTCTTTATTTCGTGACTACTGCACATAATATCTTTACTCTGTGTCCCACCCTGTCGTCTCACTCTCGGGTCACTGTGAGCAAAGGTGTGTGTGTGTGTGTGTATGAGTGTGTGTGTGTGTGCGCGTGCGCGTGTGTGTGTGCGGTGCGTTTGTGTGTATGTGAGGAGTATGACTGCCATCTGCTGTAGGACTTTGAACATTACATGTTGTTGACAACATACATTATTTTTAAAGTTAAATGAGTGAATATAATATTGTTGCAGTCCACACTGTCAGTTCTTTTTATCTGCACAGTAGGAAAACACAAGGGGATGACAAAATACAGTGATAAAACCACATGATTAAAGACAAGAGGAAAAATATGAACACTATTGTGAGATAAAAGTCCTCAAGGGCCTTGAAGACAGACAAAACAAATCATGGTGACAGCTGAAGTGACAAAAAAAACTAAATGACAAGGAATTCCAAAGAGAAAATAATTCTTCATAAAAATATATATAGATATGAAGGGTAACAATGACAAGTGAAGGAAATTACCATTTATCTCTTTCCCCTCAGTCACCGCCTGGAGGTGAGAGCTCAGGTTGCTCAGGCTTTCCTTGCCAAGTTCCAGCTATCTCATGAGGAGATGGTCACACTGCGAGGGGCTCGGGATGCACCCATTACTGAGGTAATTTCCATTATAATCTATGCTAATGAATGAAATCATGTAAAATCCTCACCACACCCACAAGCTGGAGGGGTTTCAGTAACAGGAGCCCCTTTTACACAGACATCCTGCCACATTGCTGTAAAAGAAAGTCATCTTTGCTTGTTACTAAACCAAACAAACCCGGCATTACGCCGGCGCCATGTGTGATTTTTAGACAACATGCCGGCATCCTGGAATCAGAGGCTTGATGTGTAACAGGACCGTGTCACTGTCTGTCCTGTGTTCTGCTGGTCATACTGTCGATTTAACTCTGTGACTTCCTCCACTGCCGGCTTAAAGGCAAGCTCCCCCACCCCGCCCAAATTCTGTGTTCATACCTTTTATACCGAGGCAGAATAAAGGTGCAACATTCCCATAGTGAACAGGCTGTGTAAAAGGGGCTAGGTACAGATACTGAATGCGTCTTGCTGATCTGCAGTTTTTATTGTCAGTTTTTCCTTTAGAGGCTCCATTATCTGGATCCCCTAGTTGAAGGATGACCACTCTTCTCACTCTCACTCATGCTGCCACAATAACTAATGAGTTGTAAGATGTGATAAAGATAGGAAAATCGAAATGATTTGAGCTTCTCTGACCATCCTCCCCATCGCTTGTTACCGTTTCCTACTAAACATGAAATAAAATCTAAATGATCTAAAGAAAGAAAATCAAACTTTTATTACCTGGTTATGATATGCACATACATAATTTTGCATATCAGATAACACCACACATCTTTCAGCTTCAAAGCAATTTTGCATGATAAGTTACAAAGATAACTTACCAAAGCTGTAATTTTTAGTCTTTTACCAAAAATGTTCATTGACCTCTGCAAATCTGCCACCTTTTACTCTAGTATATTCATTTATGTGTCATTCATTTTCCCAGGATTTCTTCAGAGCTCTCAGCCGAGTGAAGCACATCCACGAGGATGTGAAAATCCTCCTGCGAACCAACCAGCAAACTGCAGGGTAAGGTGCATATCTGACTCCACAGTGTTAGTCTGTTCCCCACCAGTGTCTTTTATGGTAATTTTATTCTCCTTGTTAAATTCATGGCATTTATTTTGAACCAGAGATGTGGAACAGTTAAGTAGGAGAAAAACATCCAGGTCGGGTATTTATGTCACTGTCAGGGATCTGACACTATGCTGCAGGTCATGAGTATGTAATGTGTGGTCTTGGTTCGTGTGCTTGTTCCAGGTTAGAGATCATGGAGCAGATGGCCGTGTTACAGGAGACATCATATGAGCAGCTCTACCGCTGGGCTCAGAGTGAGTACAGTACACAGAGTTAATACCACGAGCACACCAAGGGATAAAACTGACTTACCATGACCCTCCATGTACACAGCCCTCCATACTGAACTGGGGTGTTGTGTTGTCAAAAACAGACAATTAAGCCAATGTATTCTGTACAGTTTACTTCCATTTGTCTCCAAACGGTTGCTACTGTTGCATGATTTCTATTAGTTGTGTGTTTTTTTTGTTTTTTTTTATTGGATATACCAAAATACAAAACTGCGCTCTTTCAAGTGACCATAAATATCCAGTAATGGCGTGTATAGGAGTCATTTGAGAATACATGTGACTCATAACTTCTGACTGAGTATTGTCAAACGAATGCTTGAAACCAAATGTTTTGTCGTTGAAAATGAAAATGGAAATAGTCTATTTAGATCACAGAAACCTCATTTGTTTAATTATACAGTAACAAAATACAGAGCGTCTACTAAATTGTGAGTTGCTCCACAGATTCTTATTTTGCTGTGGTTTAGATTTGCCAAAAGTCCCAGTTCCGTAAATTAGGCAAGTGAAAGTTTGGTGTTGGTTAAATTAAAGAACTCGAAGTTCTTCTGTTTTTTTGTAATTTCTCTGCATGTTGTAGAAGTTGTAGAAGTTGATTTATTTGTGAATAGTCTCTTTTTTTGTACACGCATTTGTCAGTCGTTAATTTTCACAAAAATATTACCACACATTCTCTTAGGAACACATGTACATGTCTTTCCAGCATTAAGTAAAGTCCAACAAGAGTGGAGTGTGTTGACCCATTTTCTCCAATAGTCTGGAAGATTGGCCACTGCCTGTTCATTGTTTGTATTGTCTGAAGCATAAGCAAACCGACTGACTTCTTAGTGAAAGCTCATTGGAAAATATGATTTTGAAAATGTTCTTGGTGCTTTGGTGTGCTTTCTTGCCAACAGGGTTGACATGGTCAAAAACATTTAGCAACAGTGAATGGAGCATAACACAAAGATAGTAACTATAAAAACAGCACTCAGATGATAGTGTCCTACTCCGATAGATATTATATAGATTATGTTTCTTGTCCTGTATCTCTTCTTGTTTTTCTCTCTTTCTACATAGACGAATGCAGGGGACTGACCCAGGAGACGTGTGATATCAGCCCTGTGCTGACTCAAGCCATGGAGGCCTTACAGGACCGGCCTGTCCTTTACAAGTAACATATAAACACAACAGAAACTTATTTATCTAAATGAAACACTGTATGGTCTGTCCCTTCTGTTATCTTTCTCTCTATGCCAGCCAGTGTTTACTCAGAGTGCTAATAACAAGTAGAAGTCAGCTTGTGTAGTGGTGAATGTTTTAAAATGTCCAATATCAAAGGGGCTGTTTGAATCTATTACTAACAATAGAGAGATAGCTCCTAAATATACAGTATGAAAATAAATAGCTACAAGCGCCACACTTCACTGATCTGAATACATGCTTGTTAAATTCAGAATGAAGTGGCACTGCTGCTGTCTTCAGTGGGTTACTCACAGGTGAATTGTAAGAGTTTTTGGCTGAGGAGATTCTTGTCTCAGACAAAGAGAAACAAAGAGCTTTTTGATTAGAAAGCAACAGAACAAACAGCCTGAAGCAACAGAAAATGTCACCACTATCCAGCCAGCGGTAGAAATTACAGATCCGCAAAATAAATCACTGTCAAAATTCGTCATGAACAATCAGGACTATAACAAACTGCGGCCACAGGTTTCTGGCACGCACTGTGTACAGAGTACAACTTTATGTGTACATTTAGCAAGAATTCAGTTTTATTTCCATTCAGTGTTTCTCATGCTCTTCATGTTGCTTGTGTAGAATTGCAAAGGTCTCCCAGATTTCCTGAAGCTTCCTGTGAGTTTAACTTTGTCCCAAAAAACAAAACAACACAGTGGAACGTTTCACACGTTACACCAAGATATGCTTTCATGGCAAAGCCTCCTTCTGTTGGTCTTCATTCTCGGAAATGCACCTGTCTCAGTGCCCAGAAAGTGTCCAAGGTCGTGCGCTGGCTGGGGATGTTTAGGCTGAGAGAGCGGAGACCGACGTTCCTGGAATCTTAATTCAGCACTATCTTCTGTTTAGTCTGTCGTAGAGTCTGCCACCGCCAAGTAATCAAAACAACCTCAAACTCTTTCCTTTTGGAAAAGCTGCCTGCATTGTTGCTGCATGTCAGCGACTGACCTCCGACACACAGTCTGCACGAAAAACACTGTGTTCACATGAAGTTTGGGTGTTGAACGTTGGCCCCTCTCTCTCCTCTTTTCGGTCAGGTACACTCTGGATGAGTTTGGGACTGCTCGCAGGTGTGCGGTGGTAAGAGGCTTCATCGACGCACTCACCCGCGGCGGGCCAGGAGGAACTCCTCGCCCCATAGAGATGCATTCACATGACCCCATGAGGTAATCAGTCCCGTTGTAATATGACGCTTCTTACTCAAATCCCATTTAAGTGCTCAATTTTGCCATTTCTCAACATAATAAAACCAAAAGGAAACCTAATTTCTGATGGAAATTTAGCTATTTTTCCACAGAGTTGGAGAAACTCAAGGATGCTTCTTTCATGTCTCTGCATTAATTTTGAAGGTACGCTGAATAATGAGTTCAGTGTAGCTTAGCTCATTTAATGGATGTCTGCAGAATCAAAGAGAATATCCCCTTAAAAATATGAACACGTACATTTATGCATTTCAAAAGATGAATGTCTTGTCGAACTTAACCACAAGTTATAATTAATGTATTTAAAGAAATTAGATTATATCAAACTTACAACCTGTTTCCTGTTTGTGCACACAACCAGAGCTGATGAATACTAATACTGTATTTACATATATTTAGTATAAAAAAAAAGTTCTAACTGGTTTGCAGTTATTAGGATTTTGTGAGAACTTGTCAAAACATTTCTGGTGATCACAAATTTAAACTGTCAGAATTTTTCCAGACTAGATTCATTATTCAGTAGAACTTAAAACCACACACAGACATTCAAATGGATAGTACAGGAAATATAGTTGAATCCAGGTCTAATATTCTACAGTGTATCTATTGTATGATTGTAACAATCATATTTCATGTCCTGATTATGATGATCCCAATTCAAGATGATGTTAAATATCTATTTTGTCAAGGTGTGTGTGAGTGTGTGTGAGTGTGTGTGAGTGTGTGTGAGTGTGTGTGAGTGTGTGTGTGTGTGTGTGTGTGTGTGTGTGTGTGTGTGTGTTTCCTTTTGTACCACGGTCTCTTCCCTCTTCCTCCTGTGCCCAGGAGCTAAATAGGAGATTTTCTCAGAATACCAGCCATGTGTGGAACACAAAATCACCTCCACTTTATAGGAGGCATCAGCAGTTCTGAGAACATCAAGTTCTTTCTCACCTCCCTATGTCCTCACACTCGCTCACACGCTCACAAACACACATACACACGCAGGCTTACACATAATAATTCAAGTTTAACCTTGCTGTTTTCCACCGTTATGTAACACCAAAAGCCGTGTGTGTTTGTGTGTGAGTGGAGTGAAACATGATGACCTGTGCCTCGATGTAGCTGTGGTCATGGCGTGGTAAGATTAGCCCTCGGGTGGCCCCTCAGTGACGTACTGGTTAATGCAGACTATTTTGTCGCTCTTTCAGGTACGTCGGGGACATGCTGGCCTGGCTGCACCAAGCCACTGCTTCAGAGAAAGAGCATCTAGAAGCTCTGCTGAAACAAGTCACTCTGCAAGGTATGATGCTTCCTAAATGCTAATTATACAGCTCCATCATCTGCGGTTCATGCCATACCTTAAAATTACAAATGGTACAATTGCACATACTATCTTTTTTTTTCCCCGCTGTCTTCTTTTTATATAACCCTTATTGGAACAGTTTTCTTTGCAATTTTAATTAGGTGTATTTTACAAGTGAACCGCAGCTTGTAAACAAATGTCACAAGTATTTGTTTATTGGACAGAGTTTGGGAAACCAGTCATTCAGTGAGGTTAGAGATGTTGGCAACAGTTAGAGTGTGAACAAATCTAATTCTTGTACATTTAGTTCAGCCTGATGAACTAATCCTGTGCTTGTTTCCCTAATTTAACTTCTTCGGTTCTCATTAAGAATGACTACAGCTTAGTTGAGACCGGAGAGTGCTCTTGGCCCATTTTGTCAGGCTACTATACATCCAGGCTGTCAGATCACATTTATCTCCTTTTGTAGTAGTTCTCTGTTAATTCTGATTATCATCTCACTCCTAGCAAATCACATGAGAGCTGACTGAAAAGTTAGAGCATTTTCAGGCTGTTGTCATGGTGTCACTTCAGTTTGAATGACGGGCATTGCTGTCACCTGCCTAAACACAGTGAACAGTGAAAATATATGTAAAAGTCTGAGTAAGCATCAATGTGTGAATGCATCCTAAGCCTCACACAGGAATTAATTAGGAATGTGGAGGATGGAGGATGTGTGTTACTGCAGATTTGATCACATGCAGATTTACCCCAGTGCTGTATTTATTAATACTGTGCTAATATACATGATATCCTCAAAACAGCTGATGCCATCCCAAATAGCCCTGATTATTTATTCCTCTTTCGTTAGGTGTGGAGGAGAACATGCAGGAGGTGGTTGGACACATCACTGAGGGGGTCTGCAGACCGCTCAAGGTGAGCAACCAAATTACTTTAAGAAGCTATAAAGTAAAACAAAAACACTGATCAGCTGTGTTGAATGTTTAATGTGTTGTGTATTTTGTGGACCTGTTCCGCAGGTTCGGATAGAACAGGTGATTGTGGCTGAGCCAGGAGCTGTCCTACTTTACAAACTGTCCAACCTGCTCAAGTTTTACCACCACACCATCAGGTATTTTAGCTCACTCACAAGTTTGCAGCGTTACAATCACTATGTACTATGTATTTCACTATGAGTTGACAGCTGAAATTGATTGATGGCTCAACAAAAAATAATGGGGGCAACTGTTTTGATAATCGATTAATCACTTAAGTAATTTGTAGAGCAAAATATACTGTGGCTCTATTTTTTTTAATTTGCTGCTTTTCCCTGCTTTATATTATTGTTATATTATTATGAGCTTTTTGTTTTGCATCATCTGTTGGACAAAATAAGCAATTTGAAGAAGCAACTTTGGGCTCTTGAGGCTCGTGATGAGCAGTTTTTGCCATATTTTGACATTTTCAAATTTAATTAGTCAGTGAATCGGGGAAAAGAAAGAGAATTGATTATCACCGTATGCAGCCTTGTTGACTTGTTTGATCTTTGTCCAGCTCTATTATCGGGACTAGTGTGGCCTCCTTGCTCATCACTATGGAGGAAATGCACGTGCTCAGCAAAAAGATGTTTTTCAACAGCCTTAGCCTCCATGCAAGCAGACTCATGGACAAGGTATAGTAATATGATATTCCACAATATTGTTTTTATTTCAGTCGGTTGTTGTTGTATATTTTATGTGTAAAAAAAAAATTAGTTTATCTTCTTATCCAGAGTGATTCAAGTGTTTCACCAAAACATTCTTTAAATCCTTGATAAACAAGAATGAGAAGAAATCAAATCCAAGTTGACCAAAATAAAATCTACATACGCAAAGAAAGATCATGTCAAAGAAAGTGACTGCAAACAATACTTCACCTAAGGAAAGAGATAAAAGATGAAACCTTGTTTTTTTTTTTTTTGTTTTTTTTTAAATAGAGACAGTTCGCAATGTTCTTTCATAAAAATGCTTAAATGACAGTGCAGAAGTTCAGTTTTGCACCCTGTGGACACATGCTGTGTATTTCAGTTTTCCGTCTAAACCCTCAAAGACAACAAGGCTATTTCTGAAGCACTTATGCTTGTAAACAGTTTCAGCCCGCCGGCCACAGCATCGAAATGGCGCTCGCTGCCAAAAAACACCAGACTTGTTACCGTTTAGTTAAATTGGCATCCAAATATACCTCAGCACGAGCGAGAGCTCTTCCACATTACATGCTCGCTGTTTACTGATCAATAGCAGTTACAAGAGTTGTCCCTGTAGCTTGGTGTTAATCAAATTGGAAGCCCTCAGGGTTTTGGTGTCAATTCCAGCTAATGCCAGGAACACAGCCTTCTCATGATTTGCTCCATTAGGTGGACAAAGGTGGCCAGGCTCAGTTCTGCGTTGTATATCCAGAGGCCAATGAAATCAAAACCATCTTCATTAAAAAGCTCTACTGACTCTGAACAAGTGGAGGCTCAGAGTAGCAGCAGGGAGCAGTTGTATATTCAGTCTATCGTGTTGCTCATTAGGGATGTTAAATGCTTTGATAATGTTGTGAGGACCACTTGTCTTTATAAAGGCTGCAGCCCACACACACAACTAATCTCTGCGAGAATAACTTTGCTACTACACCCGGACAGGTGGAGCTGCCTCCTGCAGACCTGGGACCCACAGCCTCCCTCACTCAAACGCTGTCCCTCCTCAGGGAGGTGCTGGCCTCCCACGACTCCTCAGTGGTTCCTCTGGATGCCCGCCAGGCTGACTTTGCCCAGGTTTAACACACATTTCTACTATATGATCAGACTGAGAGAAAGGCTGATCTGTTACTGTTTCTGTTAAATCTATGAGCTATGAATGTGTTAATATTTGTTTTATCGTCTGTTCTATTTACTCATCTCTTAAGGCTCTGTCTGACTTTGTCTCCCTCAGGTGCTCTCTTGCATCTTGGATCCTCTCCTACAGTTGTGCACCGTGTCAGCCAGTAACCTCGGTACAGCTGACATGGCCACCTACATGGTCAACTCGCTGTATGTGATGAAGACAACGCTGGCTCTCTTTGAGTTCACCGACAAGAGACTTGAGATGCTTGAGTTCCAGGTTTGCCTTCATTATGATTTTAGAACACCTTAATAGTGAGTCAGACAATTAAATGATGTGTCAGTTTTTAAATGTCTATTTACATTTGATTACAATTAGTCAAGGCCAACACACCACACCTTAGTGGGACAAGACAAACTGAGTCATAAAACACTAATGTTATCCAAAGTGAATGCTCAGTTTGCAGTCACCATAATGACTGTGCATCAGGGTATTTTTCATTAGAATCAGTTAATTATTCTTTTCCCTTTCATTAAAACCCAAAGAGCCCAAATCTTTTATTAAAAAGATTTAATTTGCTATCTCATAGAAGGGTGTGCGTCATGCATTGTTGTTCAATGCGCCATGTATCCCTCTATTTTTAGCACATCTTTTGTAATCGAGCACCACAAGAGCTCCTGTGGAAGTTTCATTATCAATAGCACAGTGATTCTCCATTAACCACAAGTACCACTGGCTCACAATGCAGGCTTGGACTGGATTTTAAATCACTCTCTCCCACATTTTCTAGATCGAGGCTCACCTTGACACTCTGATCAACGAGCAGGCATCCTACGTGCTGACCAGAGCCGGACTGAGTTATATCTACAGCTGTGTCCAGCAGCACAGTGCTGAACAGGTCTCACATGGAGCATTTAACCACACTCTTACATGCACTCACTTGTGAAGTTACAGTACACATCTCTCCTCTTAGACTCCCTAATGGTCCTCTTTTTATATTATACAGGCCCTAACATTATTGCTTACACTACCTATTTGGGCTTTACAATAGCTATCGCTATGGTTACCACATGACCAATATCTTTATTAGTGCATAATAGCATTTCTGTCAGATTTTCAGATGAGAAAAGGACAGAGGGAGGCAGATCATATTATGTTCTATTAGAATATATTACCTTGTGCAGAAGTGTCTTGTGCAGTTGAGAGACCTGATGCCCTGGAGCCTTCCTCCGTCTTTACAACACACTTTGCCACTAGGCTGACTGAGACCCATAGTTGTGGTTTAGCGTGTGAGTCTTGAAACCCTGGGTCATGTCAGGACACACCACACCCTGCTGCTGCTGCAGCTCAGTGCGAAGCTCAATCAAGACCTGTCATTCTTCTGCAGACTACTTCTCTCCTCGGGTGGCCTGTCTTGGTTTTTCCTTAAATAGTCCTCTGTTTGAAAAGATTAGGTCTGGCTGTCTACACTCGACAGCATCCCAGATGTCAACGACTGACAAGAATCCCCGAGTTTATTTCAGCCTTTTCAGGTTTACTTTTACTATCTGTTTAACATTTTATCCCTGTAATTTTCTGTGATACATCAGATGAACGAGTCAGAAACAAAAATAAATAAAACGGTGATTAAAACAATACTGTTCACTGGCTAGCAGCTAGCAGATGAGTTTGCGGGCTCATGATGGTTAATGTGCCCTCATCCCTATAAAATCACTCCAGGCACTGCAGAGTTGCTTTGACCCTTGCACTGCTTTCTGTTTGCTGCTTTTAATGTAGGCAATTTAGGCGTTTAAGCTTTACTTAATGTTGTCATTCTGGATAATCGGTGTCGGCTAATTGTCTCGAAGGTACCTGCTGTTGTGTTCACAAAGTCAGTCATGTTTTTAATCTGTCTAGTTAAGATTAAGGTTTCAGGGAGGGGGGTTTCTCCTGTTCACGAATTAAAACTCACATGTCCAAGTTCAGTTTTCTAAAAATGCTGAATTATATAGTATATATTTCTTTTCCCAGTAAATACCTCCAGTGCTGATAATTAGTCCTGAATTATAAACCGAAGATAGCTACAACAGCCCATGACATCAGAGAGATGTTGAACCAACCAGTCTGCCATTTAAAAACTAAGCCAGCATGAGAAAGGAAGTGTCATGTAGTTATTAAGATACATGTGATGTTTTATTATGATACAGATCTTAGATCATATTTTCCAGCCCTAATGTAAATCATCTTTTTGTTTTTTTTGCTGCACACAATGATGATGTGTGTGTTTTTTCATTTTTGTTTTTTGTTGTTTTTTTTCAATAAACCTTTTCGTGAACTTCCCCTTAAACCAAAGAAAAAGAAATGATTCTTGGTATACGGTAAGGTGACCAGGGTAACATCACTCACTGAGGCATCACTGTGTGTCTGCCTCCATCCATTTTTAGCATCTGCTGAGAGTAATGTATACAGATAACACAGGAAGAGACTTGCTGCATGCAGACATGAATTAATGAAGGTCCACAGTCACCTGACCTTTGTTCAGGTCTGAGATTCAACATTGCTGCTGTTCAAACACCTGTGACCTTGAGCTGGATTCTAAGCTGATGTTCACTTTTCTGTCTCAGGGTGCTCTGTCCCTCCTCCCAAGCATGGACAGCTCCTCTGTTAAAGCAGCAATGGTGAGTTACACCACATGTGTTTATATATCTAATGTTCCCTGGAGGGAATAATAAACCGTCACTTAATTATGATGTTTCTCTGACTAAGCACCTGCAGTGAACTCTCCCCCACAAACAACAGGTCCAGTTTGATCGGTACTTGTCATCGCCAGACACTCTTGTGATGCCACAGCTCAACTTCCTGCTCAGCGCGGCCATCAAGTGAGTTCCTGTCCCTAATCATGAGAGTAGCTCTCCCTGAGTCTTGCATGTATGCAGTGTTCAGGCTTCAAGTTAAATGTTTACCACGTCACAGGGTAAAGAGCATATTCAGAGGGATAAAAATAGAATGTGAACGTTAACCGAATAATGTTTAACATTCATTAGTTTCCCAGATGTAATATGATCATTACTGCATTCCAAACAAAACACTCGACTAAATGCACAGCGTGTTTGGATGCTAAATTGCTGAAGCCACCAACACATTGAGAGAGTGGTCCACAGGACTGTCTGTATTTGTCTTACTGATCAGAAAATGCACATGCTTTTAGCTCAATCCAGCTGCTACATTGGAGGGCTCTTTCTATGAGTCACGTTTACTGGGAAGTGCAGCAGGCTTGAGGAGCACTCTGTACCTCAGGTTAATGTTCCCTATTAATGGACATGGGAGGACTGATGGGCAGGACGCCATTAATTAGCTTCTGGTCCATTTCTCACTCACACTCATTCCCTGAAATCATTCCTCCTCTTTGTCTTTCTCTCTCTCTCTTACTCTCTCTCACTCTCTCTCTCTCCTCCCACCCCACGCCCCCCCAACCCTCCACACTATCTCTGCTTCTCTGCTCACCTAAATACACAAAAACACCCGCTATCACTCTGAAAATACTCCTGGAGTGCACAAATAATGAGAATGTACTCTTAGATTCCCTTCGTTTCTACTTTTGTGTTAGTGCACTTGGTGTGGAGTAAGGTGTTATACACAGCGCTGTGGTTCTGTGCTCTCTGTGGGCCAATTAAAAATATGGATCTCAAGAGCCTGAGTGGGATACAACCAAGGTGCTCCCACTGTGTCGTTGACTCCTCTCACTGGGCTCTTCTGATTCAACCGCTGCATCCTCCATTCATACTGCACTGAAAGAAGTATAAGTCACATTATATCCTTCACTTCAACTTTATATGTTTGTTTTTTTATGATAAAACAGTAAAAAAAAAAAAAAAAAATCATACTTTACTTAAAGCTACAATGATAAATGAAGAACAAAAGATGTTTCTAATTAATTTTTTTTTTTTAAATGCTCAAGGTGACTTATGAATCAGTCTTGTCTATAAAATGTCAAAACGGTGGCCACCACAATATCTTAAAAAAACACATTATATACCAAAAAACACACATGCTCCAAATGCGTCTTTCTCAAACAACCCATTTCCAGTGAAGCCTTTGTGAAACCTTTGGTTTAGATTTTAATTATTCTACTGATCACATCCGACAGCAGTGGCAGATTGGTATAGCATGTCAGATAGAAGAAAATATCTGGGCATCAGTTATAGAAAATACACTTCACTATTCTGAGCTGTAATACTGAGAAAAGAGACAACACATGCACATACAACAGGGTCCAACAGTCTGAGATCACTTTGGGGAAGTGGTCTTAGACTTTTGGACCCTGCTGTATGTTTTGGAAATGTGCAAAGATGCAAACATTTTGGAGAGAAGTGAAAGATGAAATGTTTACCTGCTATTTCCTCTTTAGTGTATTTTGGCTTAAACGAACAGTGCAATGATCAACCACAGCACTATATTTAGTGGAATACTCAGTTTATAGTCAGAAAGACTGTTCTGAAATTCTGGATTTCTTAGCACATCCCTGTTCTGGAGCGTTGGTAGAAGGAGGTAGTGAGAACACTCCCTCTGGAAAAGCTGACCTACACACTTCATGACAACGTCGAGGGATTTATTAAGATATGTCAACCAGTCTTGGACACGGTGGACCCCTCTGGACTGGACTTCGTTCTACCTAATTAACAACATTGGAACTGACTACAGCATACTCTAGTAATTTGAATGCAATTTGACTCCTGCTTCTTTATGTCTTGTTAAGGTAGTTCAAAATGAAAGAAGTGGTTATGTGCATATTCAAAACTGAGACCATATGTAATTGGTGCCAGACCCTCCAATAAAAAAAATGTCACGTTTTGTTTGACCAACAGTCGAATGTAAGACCAAGCAAAGCAGCAAATTCTCACATTTTTGATGGATCTTCAAACCATCAAATATGTGGTATGATTTAAACAAACAATCCATGATGCTGTAATATGTATCCATAGATGGCAGTGTGCACCACATACACCACTACCACTCTTTGTTTTTACTCTGCAGGGGCACTCAATGGTCACTGAACAAAAAAAAAAAAAAAAAAAGCAATTAGGACAAATTCTTACTCATGGCTGATTTATTTCAGCTCTTGAACAGTGACTAATTAGAGTATAGCTCTGCAGGTCTGATTTAGGTTAGAAATACTAGAATTTAAAAGGCCCATTCATTGCTGTCACTTTGTTTTGTGAGTATAAAAATCTTAAGCATTTTATCTGTTTGTGCAGGGAGCAGATTTTCCGTCAGTCGACAGAGCTGGTGTGCAGAGCCTATGGAGAGGTTTACGCGGCGCTGACCAGCCCAGCTAACGGCTACAAAGACCCAGAAAACCTGTTGCCCAGATCCCCTCAGCAGGTCCAGACCTTGCTGTCCTGAGAGACACTTCTGTCGCACCTGGTTGATCTCAAAAGCACCCGGCACCGGGCGGCCTGCAGGTTATTTAAAGAGCGGTGTAATTTGTACAGTATAATAACACAAATGTATATAAAAGTGGTTGTTAAGGTGGGGTTCTTTGTGGGAAATGTGGGATGTGGGTCACTGACCACAGAGAGAGACATGTCTGTATATAGAGCTTCCTGTGCGCAAGGAGGAAAGAACATTATATGTATATGATCCTTTTACATTCACTGCTGCAGGCGGTTGGCTCGTTCTCTTTCTCTGTGAAACTCATGTGTCTCCTTCTTTCTGTTTCACACCATGTTCTCTGTTTGGGGTCCATAGTTTTATAAAACAATGTCTTTTTATCGAAAACACTGACCATTATATAAAACAAAAGGATACACTAAATTAATGATGCTTGTCTTATTTTTCCACACTTAAAAGTGGTCGGGAAAAATTCTGCCACAGGAGGAACCTCAGCGGCTTCAGCACAAACGTTGTTTATTTTAATCTCAACTGTTTTGAGCTGTCGGGATAAAATGGAAAGTCTGTCTTACCATCTTGTTTGGTTTTTCAAACAAATGTCTGCCATGCTGACTAAGATATGAAAATAAGACTATAATGAGGCTGGATTTAGTCATTTACCATAAATTCTACCTTTTAAATGAATCTTTGGCAATTTAAAAGCCATTATGGTGTGTCAGGAGTGGGAAATGTTTTTCTTCACTATTACCACAGCATTAAACCCCCATTTTTATTATGAGCTAAGCTTTCTCGTCATGTGCTCTCTTTTGTACATAATACACCTCGTCTTGTGATGTGTTAGTTTATGAAAACTTTTCTCTAGATGATGCAGTGGTAACCAGGATAAAGTCATATAGCACTGGTTATTGACATATTGCTTTACATTATAGGTAAAAGGCATAAAAGACTTCACAAGGATTTTCTTTCACAATGATAATATTCAGCTTTTATAAATTGAGATCTACAGAATCAAAAAAAAATCAACTCTTTTCTAGTCTTAACGACCACAACTCATACACCAATAGTGCACCGGGCGCCAATTTTGGGTTCAGTATCAGAGATGAAACCACCAACCTTCTGATTAGCAGACAACCCAATGGACCACCTGAGCCACAGCCATCCCAAAGTATTGGACAGAAGTGACACGATGGTGTATAATATTAGTGAAAAATTGACACGACCCAGCTCACGTAATCCCCAGTAAAGCACCACTGAAACAGTAAAGATAAAGTGAATATTGATCCTTTCTGTTGTAATGCTCTCAGTCCTGAGAGGCAGCTTTTCATTTCTGCTATCTGACATCAAGGTTCATGGCAGCAGGCCTCATCTTGGCAGCACTGCCAGCACTGAGTCCCAGGATTTCCCCAGCTCACCGGATGTTACTCGGATATCATTGGCCAGGACATTGAGTACTGGGAATAAATGGAATTCCACAAAGTTCAGCATCTGGACGGCACTCTTAAGTCCTTTAAATAGACCGGCTCTCTCTTCCAGTTCTGCTTGGCTCCGCTCTGATACAATCTGGATTCTTGAGTGTTTTTACTCAGCACTCTCTGGCATAAAGTGGGATGATGTTTGAAAAGCAAGATTATTGAATAACAACACACCGGGCGCACCTTCACAAACTCACAGGCACGTAAGTTGTGCGTGGATACATGTGGGCTTGCAGAGTTCAGCATGTGAGGGCTTTTTCTTGCTGGTGGCTGTATTAATGAGTTAGCAGATGTGAGAGGTGATGGAGTCACCACTTAGAGGCAGGTAGTGGTGAGCGGGGTGGCAAACATTCGTCCCATCATTCGCTCCATATGACAGGTCGCCAGGCTTTAGCCTGCTGAAGCATGAGACCAGCAGGAATCTGGGTTAAAGAATAATAGCAGCAATATTGAGTTGTTTTTTTTTTTTTTTTCTCTCTATTTCCTCTTGCACTTCACTGGCTGGTGGTAAATGACGATCCACAGATGACAAGTTGAGTCTTATCTATTGCCTCAGCAGAAAATTTGAAAGGAAGATGACTCAAATGAATGCGCTGTGGAAATCACAAGTCTTACTGCATGCCTATTGTGCTAATGTTGCTCTTTCTCCACGTTTTTGCTTAGAAATGTCACGCGTTGCATCCTCACTTGGAAATGACTCATCATCTCCTCAAAATAGGACGTGGTAGCTTGTAAGTGAGGGATTTGTGCCACATCATAGTGATGTGTTTTTATTGATTTACTTTATTGAGTTTCATTTAAGTTATGAAAACTCCCAAGTATTGATTTTCTTCAGAGCATGTGATGACATCTTCCTGGCTTACAGTCCAATTTTTTTTTTTTTATCAACTTATCCATGCGTATTGTAGAAACTGCTGTGAGTTCATGAAGTTGCACGTTAGCTAATGTATTTGCAGTGTGAAATGGTGGTGGAAATGTTTCTGATCAAGTCTAAATGTAGATATCTAACATCCAACTAAATTTTGAATGGTAGTCAAGCACAAGACCACAAGCACAAGACTGACTGTTAACTTTTAAATTTGATTTATCAGCTTAGGCCAAGCTCCCACCCCTGGATCAAAAGGATGTTTTCACAGTTATAAAATCTTGTGTTGTGGCCGACATGAGTTTTTCCAGCTTTACAGTTATAGATTGTTGCTCCATACGATTGTGATGGAAACAGAGGAAATATGCAGGTATAAAACAGTATCGTCTGCATACATACGGGAAACCTCTTCATGACATGATAAATGCTGACGTCAGGCTGCTCTATCAGAGTTTTCTGTGAAGATTTCAGGTCAAATTTTGCTGCAGTTAACTTCTATTTTGAGCAGTTCTACCTCTTTGAATAACAAAAGACTCAAGAAAGGAGGAAAGACAGGATCTCGATAGAGCAAGAAGATCGATACAAACATCCACACTGGTTACCTCAGATGAACTAAAATGACAAAACAGTAGACTCAGGGAAATTCGAAACACTCAAAAAAAAAAAGAACTTTATCACTGGCATGTTTCTTTACCAGGAACACCGTGAATGAGGTAAAATGCCTACTTCTACTTTCCAGCTGTAATCTTCCCACACAGATAACGTCCTGTCTGATAGGAAGTTAGGAAATCAGTGACGGAATAATGGACTTTGTGCCACTAAACTACAAAGTAAGAACACTGTAAGGTGTGCAATGTTAATGTGTTATCTGTTTTGATTAGGCTCTTCATTTCACAAACTGTGCTGTACTGTGCAGATTATGCACAGTTGCATCACACCCTGCCCCCCTTGTTAAACATTGGACGCAAACTTTCCGCAGTAGGAGATGTGTTTATCCTTGGAAATCAAGTCGTCATCGTCATTTTGTGGTCTTCAGTCAATACTTGGAGAACGCTTTGTTTCTGGACCTCATCCAAATTCTTGGTTTTAATTAAGCCACTCATCACTCTCACGCCTCATAATTCTCATTTGGACCATTAGAGAAATTAGATGTTATTTATGTAACATGCTCTCCATGCATTGTGCACTAGTTGCTTCAAGCACAGGGTACGGTCATCCATCTTATTATGAGGCTGAAATATCTCCTGCCTCATATCAGAGCTACTCATAATTATTTCTCCACATTGCTTTTGTTATTTGGAGAGGTTACCTTATGTCAAACCTTTCTCTCTTTGGCGGCTATTATGTAATTTGTCTATTAGCACAGGAAGGGAGACACTGTGAAGTACTGACCTGAAACACAAGTGCACAGTAATTAATTTTCCTTTCTGATTCTCTGCTGTTCCCATCATCCTAATCAGCATTTCATTCAGTGCACTCAACACAGCACAGGGCTTCAGAAACTTCAAAAACCAACTCGGAAAAAAAATCTGCATTTGTTGCTTGTGATTTTGACACATCCTGTAAGACGCAGTTGTTAATGCACGTCCATCTGACACTGCTATTGACAGGCGTACTCCCTGGCTGACCAGATGTACGTCCAGGTGGCCTGATAAACCAAGCATAGCAGAGAGACGCTATCGACGCAGTGTTTGGATAGTTGTGGGATGAGAGGAGCGCACAGAGATTACTGGCTCTCTCCGGCCAAAGATTAGCCAATGATGAAGCTGCTTTGCCCTCACGCTGTTGGAAAAGGTTGGACCCCCCGATGGTGCCCCAGAATGCTGGTACAGTATTGCGTGTGGCTGCGATACTTCATTGTGTAAGCTTTTTCCTCCCTGCAGAAACATGTTTGCTTTTGCTGGTATGAACACTTTGTACAGAGTCCCGGGCCAAACACAAGCACGTTCAGTAATTTCCGAATTGTGTCACTAATGACCAGATTTATCCTGTGTTGTTGTTGGATTTTAGTCACTCATGAAAAAACTTCTGCTTTTTTTTTCTTTTTTTTTTTGTTTGTTTGTTTTTTTTGTCCTGCATGAACATGAAATCTTTTACAAAGTCATCTGCAGCACAAAAGTGAGGTTTTTGAATATGATAAAGATTCATTTAAATCTAGTGGTAGTCAGAGATGTATGTATTTACTTCACTTGCAGATTGTTTATCATGATTATGAATGTATATTTTTAACCTGTGGTTTTTTGTCAGACTTTTTTAAAGATGACCAGGTTTGCCACCAGCAAACGACAAAATCCATGAACCTGAGAGACAGACAGACCTATTCACACTAACAGAATAGAGGACAAGAACATGTAACAAATTCACCGTGACTAATGCCTCTGTGAGTAATCCAACATGCTGTCAATCATTACTCACACAGAGAGCACTGTCTCCGCTCTCATTGGTCTGAATGTGGCCGTGCTGTGCGCTTCTTCAAAGCATAGTCCCGTGACTCCCATCCTGAGGCGAAAGAACGGGGCAGAGTTGTGTGTGTGTGTGTGTGTGTGTGCGTGTGTGTGTGCGTGCGTGTGTGCGTGCGTGCGTGCGTGCGTGCGTGTGTGTGCGCAGTAGAGGAAGAAAGGCAGGAGTGTTTTCGCCAGGGTCACGGCCAAAGACCCGGTCACCCTACTTTCATGTGTCCCTGCTCAGGGACGGTAAACGAACACAGGACTGAGCACAAGTTATGGCTGCTTTACACACGGCTGTGTTTTGAAGCTGTGATGCAACAGCAAGAGGCTGCAAAGTCAGTAACCGGTGGCAACATCCGCTCTGCTTCTGTCTTCCATCACTGTAGTGTCAGCTAAAACTTGAGCATCTGTTTCTGATCCTCAGATCAGTTAAACTACCTCTGTATATTTATGGTAAACAGATGACATCAGTGATTTGTAGTGTGCTGTGTATATATATTTATTTAGTTATGACTAATTGGGTGAAAAAGATTCTTTGCGCATCTTTAAAGGTCCCATATTTTACACTTTTCCTGTATTTTATTTGAAGCATTGATCTGTAAGAAGATATATTTGTGGTTTAAACTACCTAAAACTATCTCAGTGTAGTATTACATCTCTTCTCTCAGGATTCTCTCTGGAGCTCTAGTAACAACAGATCGGTGAGCCAATCGGAAGAGAGGAGGCTCTGAGCCTCTCTTCTGATTGGCTCACTGTTTTCTCTGTGATCGAATAAAAATATAGCAGATTTCAGGTAAACACTCAGAGAAACCAAATCCTGCAAGGATGGATGGTGGGTCCAGATGGGCAGGGCTTGGGGCATGGCTGAGAGCAAGACTACTTTGTTGTGACATCACAAAGTTACAGACATCCTGACAGCTTGTTTTAAGGCTCAGTTTCTGAATACAGGCTGTGTGCATTTCTCTGTGGACTGAGTGATTTGATACTTTTACAGTATTGATATAGAGCCTAGACCTGACACCTACCTTTATACTAAAAAGGACCTTTAGTAAAACTCAGATCATGTTATTGTTATCTATACACACAAATGTTCAGGTTTTCACGAAGGAAATAATTATGAGAACTAGAATATTGTTTCTAAATTTCTTCTTTCAGAGAAAGAATGCAAGGAAAGAGGAGAGATGCAGCTGTAGTGTGTGTGTGTGTGTGTGTGTGTGTGTGTGTGTGTGTGTGTGGGGGTGGGTGGGTGGGAGGGAGGAGGTGTCGGGGTGGTTGCGCAGAAACAGCACTAGAGGCCTGAGAGGGGAAGGAGAGAGCCCCGGTTACTGAGTAACCCGGAGCAGCAGTCCCATGCTCACCTTTCCCCTAATAGCCCTTCACCTTCCGAACCACGTGAAGTGGGCCTGTATGCTGACTCCCCATAGTGTGCACTCTAACACACATGCACCAAGGAAGCTTAGTCAGTGACAGAGAATCACAGTGCGCACACACATACACACACACACAAACAAGAGTGTAAGTAGAAGCAACACACAAGCAAAATAGTAGCAGCTTAAAGGTGGAATATGTGTGTGACATAAAATGACCAGAATACACTGCATCTGTTCAGATGTGACTTGTTGGTCAGTTCTAATGACTCAACACTTACCTCACTGTGCTGAGATTTCTGGGGTTTAAAACCCACTTTCACATTTAAATTTCCACACGCTTCAGGGCCCTGACACACCGAACCTTTGGGTGCCATGGGCCCATGTGTGGTTGCATGTAGTGTTTGCAATGTGCTTTTCTCAGTCCTCACCAACAGCCACTGGCAGATTGAGCATTGTGACTTGAAGTTGGGGGCAGGTGGCATTAGCATTTAGAGAAGTTTCTCCATGTTACACCATCACCTTAACTTTTTCCACAAGCAGAAGACCACAGGCTGACAACACTGTTACAAAGCAAACCTTTATGTTGCCAGATGCATCTTTTTTCTTTTTTTTTTTTTTCAGATGGATTTGCAATTGGTATTCTGAGTAAATGACATGACTGTTTAGACTGTGGTTTGCTGGTTTGTTTTTTTCATCTTTCTGCATGTTTTTTGGAGGACACATGCATGACTACTGACCGGTAATTTCCGCTCATGCGGGCACAGAACGCACAAGCACGTTAGCAGTTAACTGGTCGTCAGCTGCAGCGTTTGCTGTGTGCTCAAGTGCTGCTTTTAGCCCAAGATCTGTGGCGATGCATTATGTCTATGTTGGTGTCAGCCAGCGCTAGTTCTACCAGATTGACTACGTCTCAGTTTTGGAAAACAATCTCCAGATACTGTTTTCAACTTTAAACTGATAGATTGTCATGGGTGACCAAAATCACAAAACATTACAGCTCACTAACAAACCTGACAGGCAGGATTATCACTCCAGTCACTGTGTTTTTTTATATTCTCCTTCACGGATTTTCCACCCAGCTAACTAGCTAACACGTATTTTGACGTATTTGACTTTATGATATGTTTCACTTACAGGCCACTGTACGTCGTACAGGTAGAATGGTGCTGTTGCAATTCAGTAGTCACTGGCAGAGTTTTCAGAAAGGCTTATGCTGCTTTAAAGTAAGACCCGGCTGAACTTTTCAGAGCACAGACTACAGTTGAATATGGCTGGTGTGTGGGAATGTGTGTGTGTGTACCACTGTGTCAGCAGAAAGCCACTCCTTCCCATTGTAGCAGCTGAATGAGTAAGATGTCAATGGAAAGTATGAGTCACTAGACCTACAACTCACAACAATAATATTTAGCATGAGCGGGGAACTTGGAGTCGTCTGCTGAAGGTAGATTGGTGATTAGTGGCTTTATACGCAGACTGGGAGTGGCAGTGACAAAACTGCTGGCCTGACATCATTAATCCGTCCCAGCCCACACACTCTCCATGCCAGACTGGTAAGGGAGGTACTGGCTGAAAGACGGGCTGCTAATTCAGGCCAGGGTGAGGAGCAGAACCAGAGCGATCCAGATCAGCCACACTGAAACCTTCGCCCTCATCATATGGGTGTGACTGGAAGCTTTTCTGGTAATGCCCCGTCTCAGTGAGAGGAAAAAAAAAAAAGGAGTGTGCTTTCTCACACTACAGAGTGCATTCTTCTAGGTCATTACATTCTTTGAATAAATAATGAGTGACAAAACTGCCATGCCAATATACAGTAGAAATATGTAAAAATGTAGCTCCGGTAAAAGTTTTGTGTTTTATGGAGATCAGGATAAATTAGCCGTGTTATTGAACTGTATTATGGAGTCTGCATAAGGAACGTCATTATGTGACTCAGCTGAAAGCTCTGAAACATGTCATTTGTATTTTACTAGTTTGGAGGGAAAAAACAGGAGATAAAGTTTTGCATCATCGTGTGAAAGTACAATATTTCAAAGTTTTGTTGTGGAAGCTGTGAGGCTGTTTTAATGTCAATAAGCACAAAATAACTCTCAAGAAACAGGATAGTGGCTTGAGTTATTACACCTAATACAAAATATGAGACTTTTAAAAGTATCTGAAATCTTTTCATTCATGTTGTGACATTCTCTTCGTGGTTTATCAGCCTGCTCTCACTTATACAAACTGCTGTGTCGTTTATTTCCACATACAAACGAAAGTGGAACAGCATTCATAAAAACACATACCTCCACATGTCTGAGATCCAGATTATTATCAGGATCTGCACCAAACTGTACAAAGTCATAGATCTCAACACCATTAATATGTCTGAAATTTTACATCAAGATCCATATATTATTTGCTGAAAATTGAAGGAAATGTAAATGTCTATTTTGCAATGTTTAGGAAAGGGAAAAAAATTCCTTTATGGTTTAATGGTTTCTTCTCTGGCCCATGACCAACCCCTCCACCAAGTTTGGTGCAAATCAGTTCAGTACTTGTGTACTGCGTAATCCTGGTGACAGACAGACAGACAGACAGACAGACAGTTGAAAACAGCCACCTTGTCAGCGGTAACAAAACAAAAAAAAACTGGACCTCACAAATGACCAAATGCATGACTGTCAGCTGTAGCTCTGCCTCAGCTGCTCTTCTCTTGTTGTCACAAGAAAAGAGCAGTAATAATTATACACTGAATACTGCAGAAAAATCTTTATTATCTAAAAATAATTTGTAAAACTCAAATCCCATGACAACAAACAAGAAGCGAAATGTGCCTTGTGGGCCAGTTGGAACGTAGCAGTCGAGAGAAAACTTTTTGATTCATCAAAGCCTCGCAGTGTTCTTGTTTTGGAAAAATGACAGAATTATATATAATTTTCTAAACTTTTATACTGCACGTGTTTTTGTTTCTTGTTTTATTGGCCTTTCTTACACGCGCACCATGTGAGGTAAACACTCAAGTATTTATGC